AGAGAGAAGTGAGCGAGAAAGAGAGAGAGGGGGGTGAGAACGAAAGTGAGAGAGAGAGAGAGAGAGAGAGAGAGAGAGAGAGAGAGGGAGAGAGAGAGCACAAGCGAGAGATAGTGGGTGGGAGTGAAAGGGAAAGCAAGATAAAGAAAGCCAGGCAGAAAGAAGGAGAAAGGCAGGAAGTATAGAGATACAAGACACGGCGAGGCATTCAACGAGGAAACGATAAGAAAGACACAGCGAGAGAGAAAGAGAGAGCGAGAGAGAGCGCACGAAAGAGAAAGCGAGAGAGAAAGAGAGACCGAGAGAGAGAACTCGCGACGAGAGCAATAGCGAAAGAGATAACACCCACGCGGAAAAGGAAGCAAAACACACAGCAAGCGACGGCAAGAGCGCTCCTCTCTCTCTCTCTCATCTCATCTCTCGTCGCTCTCTCTCATCTCTCTCCTCTCTCTCTTCCTCTTTCCCTCTCTCTTCTGCCTCTCTCTTCTTTCTCTCTCTCTACCTCTATCCTCACTATCTTCTCTCTCGTCCTAATCTCGTTGCTCTCTCTCTCTTCTCCTCGGTCCTCGTCCTCTCTCTCCTCTCCATCTCCTCTCTCTCTCTCTCTACTCTTTCTCTAATCTCTCGTTTCTCTCTCCTACCTCTCTCTCTCTCTCTCCTTTCTCTTGCCTTCTCTGCCTCCCCTCTCGTTGGTCCGTCTCCGGTCCTGCCTTTCTGTCTTCCTGTTCTCTCCCCCTCTCTTTCTCTTCTCCCTCTCTTCCACTCGCCTTCCTTCCCTCCCTTCCCTCTCCTCCCTTCCGACTGTTCCTGCTTTCTCCGTTCTCTTCCGTTCTCTTCTCTCTTCTTCTTCTGTGTTCTCTTTCTCTTTCTCTTCCTCTTCTCTTCTCTTTCTCTTCAGTCTTCTCTCTTCTACTTCTCTTCTCTTTCTCTCTCTCTCTTCCTCTTTCTCTTCCTCTCTTTTCTCTCTCTCTGTCTCTTTCCTTTGCCTCGTCTCTCTTCTCTCTCTATCTCTTCTCCTCTCTCTCTCCTCTCGCTCTCCGCCCCCCTCGTCTCCTCGTTCTCTCTCTCCTCTCTCTCCCTCTCCCATCTCCTCATCTCATCGCCTCTCTCCGCGTCCCGTTCTTCTCCCTCGGTTGTTGTCTGCCCTCTCCGTCGTCTTCTCTCTCGTCTCTCTCTCTATCGCCAAGACATCCGCTCCTATTAGTTCGCCGACCCCCCCAACTAACGCGGTCGTAATTCGCACAGTCTTCGAACGCCGCGCTCCGGCGTATATAGCGCAAAAACAAGCCAGCAGCATTTCAGACGCTTGACCAGAACGTTTAGATACAAGACCATCATCGCCAAGCGACAGGCCTTCGACACGACACTGACAGACGTGGGCGAGTGAGGATGCGAGCGAGTTCTGATCTCCCGCGCCGACAATCTGAATAATCGCGTCCCCGTCGATATTAATTTTATCGGTTTCGGTTCGGCCGGGTAATCTGCGCTTGGCCTCGCGCCGAACTCAGCGTGCGTGCGTGCGTGTGTGTGCCTGCGCGAGTTGTCGCCTCGAGACACATTCAATAATACAAATGGGCCTGACAGGGCGTTTGCGTGGCGTCGTGTGCTGGCCGCTGCGCTGATTGACGAGTGTTTTTTCGGTTCGCAGCTACCGCTGCGCTGGTATGTCGTGATTGATGTGAGTAGCGTACTATGTTGCTGTCTTGAACGTGTAATCCACACCCATCGCGTCGTGTTGTTACGTGCAGGGTATTAAAAGTATATCATCAGCCATATAATAGTAAATCCATTGACCAGCGTGTCAAAATTGCAAACGATATTATAACTCTGCGCAACGTCGGCTGCGGTGTCATAATTTATCATCGGGGTAATAGCGCTAAACAAGTTTAGCGCACAGAGTGTGTGGAGAATGAAGATTGAGGAAGAGAAGAGAAATGAGAGAATGGGAAAAGGAAGAGGAAAGGGGAAAAAGGGGAAAGATAGAAGCAGAGAGAAAGAAAGGAGGAGTTGTAAGAGATGGGGAAGTGAGTGGAAGAAGAGAAGGGAGAGAGAGAAAGAAGAGGAGAAGAAGGGAAATGAGGAGAGAGAAGAAGGAAGAAATGACGGAGCTGATGGGGGGGAGTTGATGAGCAGGAGAAGGGAAAAAATGGAAGAAAAGAGGGAAAAAGGGAAAGAAGGAGAGGACGGAAGGAGAGAGGGAGAGAGAGATGGAATAAAGGTAGAGAAGGGGCGAAAGGAGGCGTCGGTGTGGGAGAGAGGGGGAAGAGGACGAGGGGCGGAAGAAAGAAGAGAGGACAGAAAAGAGGAGAAAACGGGGAGGAGATAATGGGAGAGAAGGCGGGAAGTCAAGAAGAAAGAGGGGCAAATAGGGGGAGAAGAGAGAGGGTGAGTAGAGGAAAGGAGAAGGGGAAAGGAGAGAGGAAGAGGAGAGGGGAGAGAAGGGGGGGGGAAGGCAGAAGCGGCCCACTTACTCACCTATAATACAAAACGCAGACAACAGCGTGGAGGAGAATGTTTCCGAGATGGTATCCCCAGGGATCGAGCTTTCCCATCGCGAAGTTCCATCGGAACGTCAGCACGCACAGGGGACGGTAAGACTTGTGGCTCTCTTCCTGCAAAACAGCAAACAAACAAACACGTTTTTTAAGGACCTGGGGCCCGTTGTCAGAAACAAAATTAGTCTTAACATTAACTTCCACTCGCAACTGTTGACAGAAACATCGCAACGTTACGAGAATGAAAAATCCTCGAAATTATCCTCTTAACATTACGAGAGCCCAGACCCTCTCGTAACTTTAATATTAAGTTGAAAATAACACATTTACACTACGAATTACAATTATAGTGATATTATATTTTATAATAATGAATAAAATGTGTGTTTTTCTTGAAAAACACGTCAAAATCATTAATTATCTACTGATCATTAAACAAAACAATACATTTACAAATGGCGTGCATGGCATTTGTTCTCTTGTTTTAAATGTTTGCCACGCTTGCCACGACTCTCACGTCTCGTGTTACAGTGTGAGAATTTGTCTTGTTGTGCAGAATAAATCCATGACCGCGTCGTTTTTCATCAAATACAGTAAACACCCGCATAAAAAAAACCGTGATTTTCTGTTTCAGGCTAAAGTGGTTCTTATATATATGGTACATAGTGAGAAACCAGCCTGAAGAGGTTTTTAAAGAGGTTCTTAATTTGGAGGGGGGGGGAGGATATTATGTACATTATCTAAGTAAAATTGGCTTTAATTAGTGAATAATTGACACTAATTAATTAACCAACTGCTTAATATTAGAAATTATATGTCTGTTTAAATTCATTTGAGTTAATTTATTTATCACCTTTAATTTACTTATCATATTAAACACAATGGTTTGTTTACACATATTTTCCAATTGAACTGATTACTAAATAGCAACTCTTGACAATAGAAAACAATATTGTATAGTTTCAGAAAATATTCACACCATCCTCCCCCTAAATCCTCTGTATCGTCAAAATCAAGCCCCAACATTTACTGGAAAATGAGGCAAAATACCCCCTGGAAAATCCAATCCTCCTGTGAGGAGGTATTAATATTATCTGGAACTACATGTTGTTGGTTTCCAATGGCGTAGCACACATACTTGGATTGCCCCAGTTTGCTCTAATTTTCGGCATTTTTGTTATATATAGGAACCTGTTTAATTTATCAGGCTGAAGAGGTTCTTATATAATAGGTGCTTTATTGGTCCAATTTCAGCCTGGAGGTTCTTAAAATCACGGGTTCTTTTATGCGGGTGTTTACTGTATTATTTATGTGGTTAGCCATTATAATATGCATATATTACTGCGATGCACAATAAATGTGTATGAATTTGAATTTTGTGATCGATTCTCATCCAATCAGCAGCCTTGTGATGAAGTTCCTGTTATCGTAAGTTTTCTAATAGCTGCGATGTGTTACTGCATGTCAACGCTCCTCTCGTACATTAACATTAGTCGTAAGTGTTATCTTAGCATACACACACGCACGCACACACGTCTACGTGCACATGCACACGGGGGCACACACGCACGCACGTATACGCTGCACACACACGCCACGCCACGCACGCCACTTCACGGCACGCACGTGTACGTCACATGCACGCACGCACGCATGCAGCCACATGTACGTGCAAACACGCACGTACGCACGCACGCACACATGCACACACGTGTACCTGACACAAGCACGCACGCACGCACTAACGGTGTACCTGCACACGCGCGCACACGCAGCACGCCACGTGTACATGCACACACACGCATGCAGCGCACTGCTGTAGGTACACATTGCACGCACGCCCACGCATGCACGGCAACGGTGTACGTGCACACGCACAGCACGCATGACGGCGCCACGCTGTACGTGACGCTCACACGCATGCACGCAAGCACGCAACGTGTACGTGCACTACATAAAACAGCGCTTTTCTATCAGAACATGTGGTCATTCATCTGTAAATGTCAAGCAGCACGCTTCGCTTCT